CTAGCAAAGTAACGCGCAAAATCCTCCAAGCCAGGCTTCAACAGTACATGAACCNAAACAGTGAGAGACTTTATTTTCTTGGGCTCCAAAATCCCTGCAGATGTTGACTGCAGCCATGAAATTAAAAGACACTTACTCCTTGGAAGAAAAGCTATGACCATAGATAGCATATTAAAAACCAGAGACATTACTTTACCAACAAAGGTCCATCTAGTCAAAGCTCTGGTTTTTCCAGTAGTCATGTATGGATGTGAGAGCTGTATTATAGAGAAACCTGAGCACTGAAGAACTGATGCTTTTGAACTGTAGTGTTGGAGAAGACTCTTGAGAGTCCCTTGGACTGCAAAGAGACCCAACCAGTCCATCCTAAAGGAAATCAGTCCTGAATATTCATTGGAATGACTGATGCTGAAGCTGAAACTATTTTTTGGCCACCTGATGCAAAGAAGAGACTCATTTGAAAAGACCCTGATGGTGGGAAAGATTGAAGGCAGGAGGAGAAAGGGACGACAGAAGATGAGATTGTTGGATGGCATCACCAACTCTATGGACATAAGTTTGAGTAAGCTTTGGGAGTTGGTGACGGACAGGGAGGCCTGGTGTGCTAAAATCCATGGGGTTGCAAAGAGTTGGACACGACTGAGCGACTGAACTGAACTGAACCTGTACTCAGAGCCCAGCACAGCCCATGAAGTGGGAAGAACGCGCTGCAGGAAGCACAGGCCCGGGTCTCTGTCTGGCTCTTGCCTTGTCAGCTGTGTGTGGTCTTCGATCCTCTGGCAATGTCCCCTTCCATGCTGTTGAGAGGTGAAAGTGATTTGCATGTCATTTGCATGTCACACTTTGTCTCTAGAACACATGTCATGAGTTAAGAAGGAGGGCTTTAGGGCATCAGAGGCAGGGGTCAAGGAAGCCCAAGTCCTCCTGCTGTGCCCCTTTCCCACCAGCTCCCGCAAAGTCCCTTAAAGGTCTGTTACTGGGTTCAAGCTTGCTCTGCTTACCCAGTCCAAGCTCGCTCTGCTCGCCGCAGGACTGGCCAGTGAATCCAAGAGACGAGGTGCTGAGTCAAGGAAGATGACTGTTTGGAAAGCCAGCTGACTGAAAAGATGGCAAGCTAGCACCTCAAAATAACCCCCTTATTAGGGCCTGGTTGCCAGGTTCTTTTATGGATCAGAGGATCATGGCAGGAGGTGAAGAAATAAGGTAAAAAGACTATTCAATCCTTGCATTTCCCCCTAGAATGGCAAGCCTTGGATAGGGGAATGTGTTAGTTTCCCTTCCTACAATCTTTCACAGGTGGGAGGCTCAGGTTATTTCCCTGCCATTATGTATGTTGATAAAAACCAAAAAGGGTTAAAGTCACAGAAGTAGATCTAGTGTAAATTTAAAATTAACCCTTCCCAGTTACAGGTTCATCCCACAGGGAGGAGGCTGGATGGAGGCAGATGAGAGATGCTTCCGCCCTGGGCATGCGCACAACTATCCCATGTCCTCCTTTACCCAGGAGCAGTGGCATCTCCATAGAGTGACGGGAGTCTTCCAGAGTGATCCCCGCTGTTTGTTGTGCACCCATTAGAGAAAAAAATGCTTTAAAAAACTTTCATTTAAAAAGCTTTCACCAGCAGTCTGAAAGAGAGTATGATTACCTTCTTTCAGAGAAAGGAGATTCAGAGACGTGAAATCTTTTGCCTCCAGACCCTCAGGTCACCAGAGGCAGCCCTGGGACTGAAATCCTGCCTCGCCCGCCTCCCAGAATCACAGCTCCATCCTCTCCACCGTCTGCCTCAGTGGATGGAGACAGTCAGGCCACCAGAGAGAGCACGGTTGTGTTGGGGTGAGGTCAACACAAATCATAGTCCGTGGGAGGGTCCGCCGTGGGACACGCTCCAGACTTCGTGTCTCCATGCAGTTCAGTGCCCTCAAACTGCCAGATCAAATAAGCCTCAGCGGAAGCAAAGACAGAGGCAGTTACCATCCGGCTCTGTAAGATGATGCAGGGAGAAAGACGTGGCTTCGTGGAGGAAGCCAATGAGACAGGCAGCTCATGTGATGCGCGGGCCCTCCCTGTGGGGACAAGGCCAGTCCAGCAGGTCCTCCTTGCTGGCCCTGGATGGGGAGACTGTCCAAAGGGGTGATTTCTGCCTGTCACTGCAGAAATGCATTTAAGTACAGGAGAACTGGGGGCTTCCCAGGTGGCTCAGTGGCAAAGAACCCACCTGCTAACGCAGGAGACATATGAGATGTGGATTCGATCCCTGGGTGGGGAAGATCCCCTGGAGGAGGGCATGGCAACCCACTCCAGTATTCTTGCCCGGAGAATCCCATGGACAGAGGAGCCTGATGGGCTACAGTCCATGGGGTCGCAAAGAGTTGGACTCAAGTGAGCACATAAGACAGGGCCACTTATACCTGTCCCTGTGAGCCTGCAGTGTTCTGCACAGTGACTCTCCACTAACATTTTAACCCGTCAGGAGTGCCCGAGGCAGTTTGCTCCAGGGAGAGCTGGAGGCAGGGAAGAAGCTGGGGTGGGAAGGGGAGTGAGTGGCAGGAAGGAATGTGGCGCCAGCTTCCACGGAGAACACAGATCATGTGAGATCAGAGACTGGAAGCTTCTGACAGAGGAACAGGTCAGGGCGTGGGGTTCAGGGCTGACACTGAAAATGACACAAACATCAGCTCCACCTTTGCAGCAGGGTGTCAACTGAAAAAAAAAAAAGTCACAACCTGAAAGTAGAGTTGTTTTCTTTGGTGGAAATGTCAAAGACTCCAAACTTGGGAGGCAGCATCTCAGTAGCCCTGAGAAAACTGCTCCAAGGAGGTGGGAGGTGGAGTCAGGCTATATTCAAGTTTGCAACAAAGGGAGCAGGCAGTCTGAACACCAAAGATTATTGTGAGGTAAGGAAAATCAGATGTCAAGTTTAGGAATTTAGTGTTCTTCCATGTATGGGGAGATGAAAGCCTCTGGGCTCACTGAATTCATTCCTTTCATACGCACCTCAGTTATCTGGGGCCAATTCCTGTTTCTTGATTGCTTACATCCTCAATTCCCTGTCCACCTTAAGGAATGGTAGCCTCATCGGATGACTGCTTCTTGCATTCCCCAGAGTTCCTCAGCAGTCACCATCGTAGGGGGTGATGGTATCTGCTGGATCGCTGGGATTGTGTTCCGTTTTGGGAGCCCTCATTCACCTTTACGAAATCATTGATGATTGTGACCTTTCTTGCCCATGGATATGGCCGGAAATATTTCATTTCACAAATGCAACTGGGCATGGTCGAGAGACCACTGACTGTTGAAAATCCATGAATTTGGGTGAAGATTAAGAAAGGCATCTAAACTGCTCTGAGCCAACCCTGAAGACGTGCTGGGGATCACGGTCACCTTCAACATATAAACAAATCCAGTGGAGACTGAGGCTTTTGGGGAAGTTTTGTCTTCTTTTGTAGCCCTAGGAGCTCTAGGAATTAATGAATTTATCAGGAGTCACTTCTCTGCCCTATGGGTGTGACAGCAAAGATACAGTTTAAAATTCTAACTTATCAGCTCCCTCAAATGAGAGGCAGACACAAACAGGAGTGGCTTTCTTTTATGTGAACACTAAAACCCATTTTTGCCACCAGGTGTATCAGTGCCCACAAGCTCAGAGAATTATGTGCAGTGGTTTTTACTGAAGTGTGTGTGTGTGTGTGTGTGTGTGTGTGTGTGTATGTACATGTGCATGCTTGATCATGTCCAACTCTTTGTGACCCCATGGACTGCAGCCTGCCAGACTCCTCTGTCCATGGGATGTCCCAGGCAAGAATACTGGAGTGCAATGCCATTTCCTCCTGCAGAGGGTCTCGAGATGTGCATGGTTTTCTATCATTCAGCAAACTGTTGCTTTTCAAGGAAATGGCTGGGATTGAGGGAACACAATGATTTATGTTCAGCCTATTGGTCCAAAAGTTTGGATCAAAGAATAGTGACAAGCCTCACTCAGTTCCTAACATCTCCCAGGAAGGGTATGTAGTTATCCTCTTTTGACCGACAAGAAGAAGGAATCTCAGCCGGACAGAGAAAATTGTCTGAGGTCGTACAGGTAGTTCAAGATGGAGCCAGGTCTCCAAACTCCAAATCAGTGATTTTCTGATGCCCTGTGAGTGTCTGATGTCATGTGAGTGCCTGTTAAGGTTAGGTTTGACCTCACATGGCAGAAACCTCAACAGCAACCTAAACAATAGGCCTTCTCTCTCACATGAAGGAAATTGAAAGGGCTGGTACAATAGTCCCAGGACCACATTCCATGGTTTGCAGAAGGCAGTCCTGATTATAGCTGATATCCTAGAAACATTATTAACACTCTCCAAAGTGCTCAGGTTTGGATAATGAACTATAAAATCACCCCTAGTGAGAATGGAGGCAGTCTCCTTCTAACTTCTTGCTCCAGCATCTGAACAGGTGGCTTTCATCCCATAAGAGTTCTATGTATAGTTATGCAGCTTGAGAGTTGTGGAACACGCAGGAGCTTCATTCACGTTGTACCCATTATAGATTTATTTTGACAATTTTCCAAAAGATGATAGTAAAATGTCTTGTGGATCAGAGACCATCCCTTATTCTCAGAATGTTACCTTGGGGCTAAAAGCAGTACTGTCCCAAGAGGGCTGCTGAAGCTGCAGCCATCACATTCACCATCCTGACCAGCAGAAAAGAGGAAGGGCAAAAATGGAATCACACCTCTTTGGTGAAAACCTACTTTTAAGGAGAATTCCTGGAAACCCCACCAAGATTTCTATTCTTATCTCATTGCCACACTTAGCCAAGCACACTCCCAGTAATGTTGATATTCTTTTAGTAATGGGAGAAGGAAGAAAATAAGTCATCACCTTGGCTCATAGCTCCACTTTATGCCTCTGGACTTAGCAGCAAATCTCAGAGACCATCTTGTACCTGAATTTAGTTTAGGAAGCAGATGCCTCTCACTGACTCTTCTGCCTTCTTTGTCTCTCCTACTTTATAGATTTGGTTCTACACCAACAGTATCTTTGGAAAAGCTGGAATCACTCCAGAAAAGATCCCATACATCACCTTGAGCACAGGTGGCACTGAGACTCTGGCTGCCATCTTCTCTGTAAGTAAATCGAGGATTATTCCTGAGAACATCGTGGGGTTTAAATAGTACTGTGAACCCCCAGGGGACAAACAAGAATGCCTTTAAAGGAACGTGCCTTTGTCACTCCGAAGGTGTCTGAATTTGGGGAGTTTATCATGAAGTTGCCACAGATGTTTCAGTCATCTAGAGAACATTCTTATCTACATCTTGTTTCCCTGTTGTCTTCTTTTTAATAGTAACTCCTTTCTTTGAAATCTCACCTGGTAATTGACACGCTGTGATGGGCACCCCGTGAAGAGGGCCATGGCTCCCTGGGAGGCCAGATCAGAGTCTGTACAAACCTAAGTTCTGTTACCATGACTTTAAAACCATCGGCTGTCATCGCCACCCCCAAACATGTAGGGGTTTGCCAGCCAAAGAAAGGAGAAAGGACGCTTCAGTCCATCGGTTCAAGAGGGAAGCTTTAATAATAAGCCACAGTGTCCAAAAGAAGAAAGACATAGAGCTCATCACTCTTTCTCAACTTGAGTGTGTAAAATAAACATTGAGGGGAAAATAAAACCTTAGGGTTTTCAGAATCTGGCAGCAGTTGCACAGGTTTTGCCAAACCAGAATTGAATCCTGGCTCTGGAACTTCTTGACTGTGTGGTGTTGGACAATGCATTCCACTTCTCTGTTCTTCAGTTTCCCCCTTTATGAGCTATTCCTTTCTCTTCTACCTTGACCTTGATGAAGTAGCTCATTTATTTCCACTTGTGCTCACTGATTTGTGTTGCCAAGATTGATGCCAGTGCCAACAGGCAGAGGCTTCTAATTGTATTCCTGCCTCATTTTCAAAAGAACAGTTTAATTTGCTCCTTGCTCTTAATGGTGCATTCTAACAAGATGCTTTTAAAAACGCATGTCATGAAATTGTTGAGACCTGATGCTTGTCCCCTTTTTCCACTCATGGTCTTTTTGTTAGAGGAAAACATATCTTGATGTTTCACAACCTGGAAGTTTCGCAGAATTCTTGTCTCAGTTTACAGAAAGCACTCAATTGTCATTAGTAATTTTTACATGGATAAGCAAGAAAGCACAGTCAGCCTGGAATGAAAGTGATGGGAAAATTACAGGGTTTGTTTTTTGAGGGTTTTTGTGTAAAGTATTTTGTTGCTATAAGAAATCAACATGAGCTCATTAGAGTAAATTCATAAAATATGAAAATAGAAACAAAGAAGAAATACCTACAATCATACTACCCAGATAAGTTTGGCAAAATTTCTTTTGTTCTCTAGACATAGACAGCTGTATTAATCTAGTACTCAGTATAATGCTATCTTTAGCTCAAAATTGCTAATTATTAGAGAGATGCAAATCAAAATTACAATGAGGTATCATCTCACGCCAATCAGAATGATCATCATTAAAAAGTCTAAAAATAACAAATGCTGGAAAGGGTGTGGAGAAAAAGGAACCCTCCTACACTGTTAGTGAGAACGCAAATTGTTGCATCCACTGTGGAGAATGGTATGGAGTTTCCTTAAAAAGCTAAAACTGGAGTTGCCTATGATACAGCAGCCTCACTCCTGGGCCAATACTCAGAGAAAACTGTAATTCGAAAAGATACATGCACCCCAGTGTTGATGGTAGCACTGTTAACAATAGCCAGGACATAGAATCAACCTAAGTGTCCATCCACATAGGAATGAATAAAGAAGATGTGGTATAGATATACACAATGGAATATTACTTGGCCATAAAAAGAATGAAATAATGCCATTTGTAGCAACATGGATGGACCTACAGATTATCATACTAAGTGAAGTAAGTCAGGCAAATATCATATGATACCACTTATATGTGGAATCTAAAATATGACACCAATGAACTAATTTACAAAACAAAACAGACTCACAGGCATAGAAAGCAAATTTATGGTTACCAAAAGGGAAAGGTGTAGGCGGGAGGGACAAAGTAGGAGTTTAGGATTAGAAGATACACACTGCTATATATATTATAAACAATAAAGTCCTACTGTATAGCACAGGGAACTATATTCAACATCTTGTAATAGCCTATAATGGAAAAGAATATGAAAAAGTGTACATACATATAAATATATACATATAACTGAATCACTTTGCTATATACCACAAACTAACACAAACTGTAAATCAACTATAATTTTAAAACTCCTGTCTCTAGACTAGTTTTAATTCTGCTTTTTGTCCACCTAAACTTATGTCCAAATGATTTTCCATTTTATTGTTTATTGTTTGAGTAAATTTTTATTGATGGTGATGGTTTAGTCATCAGGTCTTATCCGACTCGTGTGACCTCATGGACTGTAGCCCACCAGGCTCCTCTGTCCATGGGATTTCCCAGGCAAGAATAATGGAGTGGGTTGCCCTTTCCTTCTCCAGGAGATCTTCCCAACCCAGGGATCAAACCCAGGTTTCCTGCATTGCAGGCGATTCTTTATTGACTGAGCCACCAGGGAAATTTTTATTGAAGTATGACACATATATGGAAAAAGTACACAGATTGTTGCCCCCTCTGAATTAACACTAGTTGTGACAGCTGTATCATTCTTCAAGAATTGGCTGTAAAGCCATGTCCTTAACGTTGTCTACGGGGTGGGGTTATTGAGTGTCTCTGCGCAAATGGCAGAGCCACACTGGCCAGAATCTGATCCCAGCTCCACCCCTTTTAAACTGCATGACCCCAGTGAGATATTCAACAGCTCTGTGACTCAGTTTCCCCATTTCTATAATAAGGACACCATCCCCGCCTCATAGGGAAGGAGTGAGGATTAAACAAGTGGGCACATACTTCATGATGCACACAATGCCTGGCACGTGATGTAACTCAGTGAGTGTGAATTATTCTCGTTCTGGCTAGGTAGGTTCCCGTTGTTTGTCACTTTAAATAAGGCTGTGATGGACATTCTTGCAGAGAGCAGAACTTTGTAGGGTCTCTTGCAATCTTTCCATAGCTGAGGAAACCAATTCAGTTCAGTTCAGTCACTCAGTCGTGTCTGACTCTTTGCGACCCCATGGACTGCAGCACACCAGGCTTCCCTGTCCATCACCAACTCCTGGAGCTTGCTCAAACTCATGTCCATCGAGTCGGTGATGCTGTCCAACCATCTGAGGAAACCAAGACCAAAAGAAATGACTTACCCAGGATCCCACAGCTCCCTCCCCTGAGGGCGTGGGGAGCACTAACATCTAAGGCCTCTCTCTTCCCAAGACCCTGAGTGCTTTACCTGAGGTCTCAGGAAGGTACACGTCAGTCCTGGCAGTCCGGTGACTGTTTGAAAAAGGAGCCAACAGAGGGCGTGGTGATGCTTCCAGCCTCCGTCTCTGACCCCCGGCTTCTGGTGCCCACTCTCTGGCTGGCAGATCACCCTCAATAAAGCCGACAGCCTTTGATGAAGTCCTGCTTATGAGGACTAGTCCCAGGAAGGAGGAAAATGACTTTGTCCTCCTGGGGGAGACACAGAGGAGTTTTCTAAGATCAGAGCTAGGGGTCACAGCCTCTGAAGAGTTTGCCCACTTCTCCAAGTTTGGATTCTGATGGGCCACGGTCATTTGGATCTTGTACACTCCAGAGGTGTGGGCATCTTGGTGAGGGCCCAGAGCAGGGACGTCGGTTTCATAGAGTTGGTGGTGCATATGTGCGTGCTAAGTCACTTCAGCCGCGTCTGACTGCAATCCACCAGGCTCCTCTGTCCAAGGGATTCTCCAGGCAAGAATACTGGAGTGGGTTGCCATGCCCTCCTCCAGGGAATCTTCCCGACCCAGGGACTGAACCCACATCTGCTGCATCTCCTGAATTAACAGGCGGACTCTTCCACTAGCACCACCTGGGAAGCCCAGGTATTGGTGAAAGTGAAAGTCGCTCAGTCGTATCTGACTGGTTGCCACCCCATGGACTTCCATAGTCCATGGAATTCTGCAGGCCAGAATACTGGAGTGGGTAGCCTTTTCCTTCTCCTGGGAATCTTCCCAACCCAGGTATCGAACCCAGGTCTCCTGCTTTGCAGGTGGATTCTTTACCAGCTGAGCTATCAGGGAAGCCCCAGGTGTTGGTGGACTTATTCATTCATGAGTCCATCCATGCCACAAGTGGCTTATATCATGCTTGTGCTTCAAGGTCACCAGTAACATTATTGTGACCTAAGGAGAAAGTCATAGAAACAGACATGTGCCTTGTGTAACACTGGGATGAGCTCTTGGGGTTTCAGGAGAAACAGGGGTTCCAGGAGGATTTCCTGGAGGAGGGACCCAAGAGGCTGAGAGCTGAAGGGCCAGCAGGAGCTAGACAGGTAAAGTGCAGCCTGCCCCATGGCCCTGTGTCCAAGCTCCCAACCTGCGCTCCCTCCTAGTTTATCTTCTAGGAGAGCTGAAGATGCAGACTAGTTCATTGGAAACAGTCCTTAAAATGGTAACATTTACCCTAATCCCCAGAAAAATAATGAGATTAAATTCAGCATGAGGTTGGGAGTCTGGGATGGAACAAATGTGTTGAGGGGAGAAAGAGTTTGGACTCTAGGACCTGAGGCTCTGAATTCAAATCCTAATCATCTTTTTACCAGCTGAGTGGTTTGGAGGAAATTGCCCAACATCTCTGGATTTCTTTGTGCATCTTTAAAATGGGTACATAACCATGCCCACCCATGGGAGGCAGAATATCAACTCCCCAAGTGTCCACATCCTAATTCTTGGAAACACACATATGTTATTTTACCTGGCAAAAGAGGTTTTGAAAATGTGATGAAATCAAAGGTTTAGGATGGGGAGGTTATCCTGGATTATCTGGTGGGTCCAGGGTAATCACAGGCGTCCTTACAAGAGAAGCAGGAGAGCCATATTCAGAGAAAGAGATGTGATGGTGTAGTGGAGGCGGTGTAATGTTGACTCTGAAGATGGTGGGAGGGGCCGCAAGCCAAGGAGTGCAGGCGGCCTTGAGAAGCTGGAAAAGGTGAGGAACAGATCCAGAAGGGACACAGCTCTGCTGACAACTGACTTTTTAAAAACTAATGTTATTTATCTATTTATTTCTGACTGTGCTGGGTCTTC